TCAGGATAGAGTCTTCTCACTATAATAATTTTTTATTAATAATCTGATTTAATGTAGATATTCAGTTTTCCTCTTACAGTAATTTAGTTGCAAGAATTCATGATTAGAAACTTAAAAGTCATCATTCTTCTAATTTTTAAGATCAGAAAATTCATGTTACTTGACTTTATGTATTGGGAGTCGTGTCAATAATTATTTTTTACTTTGGAGACACCGTAAGGCTATAGATAGTTAACATTTTCAAACTTAGTATAACTTTAATCTTTGTTATATAATACTTTTATGCCATGCTCAATTTAATAGAAAGTGTATGGATTTAAATCAGAAACGTTTTAACCACACGTAGTACTTCAGCATGAAGTAACTGTAATCACCATGTTCCTTTTTAATTTTCTGAAATTTTTTTTGTAATATGAATGGCCTAGTATTTATTTTTAAAACTCACAACTTCTTTAGAAAACAATTTTTTATATATTTTTTTAGTTAAGGTGCCAGGTCTTAGTTGCACCTTTTAAATTATGTAAATGTTTTTAAGAGATGTTTGTTATAAAGACTGATTCTCAGGGGAAAAAACAAACCAATCTGGGAAAAAAATGTTTTGACATTATTTTAGGACGATTATAATGATAGCAAAAGTATTTGTTCTTGCCATTTTATTGCTATACAATTCAGTATCTAAGAAATATCTGATTATAAAAGCAGTAACATTTTGTCAAATTCTTATTGTATAATATAAATTAATTCAGTGCATACCTGATTTGGTAAAAGTGTGTTACTCTAGTACTATACCACAGTGTAGTGATAAATCATGCCTTATGTATTATCATGTGTTCTGATGGCATATACATTAAAGAAAATTTCAATGTGATTTGATGAGTTTGGCTTCTGTACAGTTAAACATAAAATATAGACCTTTAAATATAGTTCACAGACTGGAATACAGTTAGTATGCTGAGAAGAGATATACTTTAATAAAAGGACTTGAATATTTTATTGTATTAATAAGATCATATTAATAGGATTAAATATATTTTAAAAATGTTTACTTATTTCAAGTGAAAATGGTAGGATAAAATTGGTTAGGGAATTAGTAAATTGAATTATTATATCCTTACTTTTTCTCCACAGGGGGGGCCTGGTTCATCTGGGGCCAAAGGTGAGAGTGGTGATCCAGGTCCACAGGTAAAAAAATGAAAAAAAATATTGTTCTTTTATTCTTTATTTTATCTAGTAGGGCAACTGAAATATTTCCTGTCTGTTTTATGAGTAATGGAATTATTTACGTTATCTTTAAACCCACATCACCTCTTTAAATTCAGAAATCCTGAGTGACCAGTTGACTGCCAATAACTTAGTTAATTTAAACAACAAGAAGGTAATAAACCAGAGTAAGATAGGCCTGAAAGATACAGACCTTCAGAATTCCATGTTGGCAGGAGATTGTGCAGCACAGAGCAAACAACTGCGGTCACACACATACTGGTCCTGCCCTACAACCACGTTTTCTGTGGAG